GCTTTTGCTCTTTTCGAAGGAGAAGATACAAATTCTTGGGCTTTTTTCCTCCAAAATTTACGTGCACATGTTAATCGAGTTCCCGCGATCGATGCCAATTCTACCGTATTTTTTAGACTTACCACAGTGTGTTAATGTTTGTCAAATACTGCAAGCCTGTGGTCCAGATCGACGAGACTTTTGTATGGAAAATACAAGCAAGTTTTATTATTGGCAGTTGTCCAAGATGGAAAATCGCAACATTCTTCCAGTTGCTTTTGCTCTTTTCGAAGGAGAAGATACAAATTCTTGGGCTTTTTTCCTCCAAAATTTACGTGCACATGTTATCACAAGGGAAAAATATGTGTCATTTCTGATCGCGGAGCTGGGACCAAAGCAGCAATGGAGTCTTTGGGTCCAATGTGGCAACCACCCTTTGTCCAACATAGGTATTGTCTCCGAAACATTACTGTGAACTACCATGGAAGATACAAGAAGAATGATGAGTGTCAATTACTTGTGCATTGGGTAAGTGAAACTGATGTAGTTGTGTTTCTTTCGATCCTTTTGATTAGGTTAGTAAGTTATACATTTTTTGATCAGGTTACGAACTTCTTCCTCGAACGTTTAAATCAATGCTTCAAGATTTGCGGGCGAAGAACGAGGAAGGATACGATTACATTAGCCTCATCGATAAAGAAATGTGGACGAACGCATATGATGGTGGATATCGATATGGACACATGACGACCAACTTGGCTGAGGCAATCAATTCAACCCTAAAGGGTGCACGTCACTTACCTATAGCGGCTTTGGTAAAAACTATATATTTTTATTTGGGGGCGTTTTTTGCGAAGCTCGAGGGACAAGCTCAAACCTGGATGCAAGGCGGTCATGTCTATCACCCTAGATTAGTGCAGATCTATAAAAAAAATTAATGCATCAAATGGAATGTCTGTAACAAGCTTCTCTAGAAGGCATGAAATGTTTCGTGTCACAGAGTTATCGCGACCTCTTCAGGGATTGAAGCTGTGTCGTTAAGAGTAAATCTAAGGGACAGAGCGTGCGACTGTGGGTTTTTTCAAGCTCTGAAGTATCTATGCTCTCATGTGATAGCAGCTTGCTCGCATACACGTCAAGACTATAACCATTTTGTGGATCCCGTATACCTACTATCTGAAGGTTTTAAGGTACGAATTTGAGTTTCCCCCAAGGTAATGACAAAGACCCTGATGAGGTTCAAGATTGGCTTATGATTGTACCAAATCCAAGTTTAATGAGGGAGTGTGGTCGTCCAAAATCCAATCGAATTCATTGCGATATGGATATTCGAGAAAGATCTAGACAAGACAGAAGATGTGGGCATTGTAGAAACTCAGGATACACTAGAAAAACATGTCCTTATGTTGTCATCAAGTAACAATTGATGAGGAAATGATGTTTGTTTATCAAACAATAATTCTGTACTTTAATTTGCATTTACTTCAAGTTAATGTCATTCGATAATGATGAAGATTAAAAAAACAAAAACAATCATTAAATTTTATTAAACTAATAACAATTTGGTATTTGAATATAATTTTAAATACAACAAACTTACAATAAGTATTAAATGGTAAATGATAACCAAATTACAATAACTGATATTAAATTGTAATAAACAAAATGAACTGAAATACGTTAAAAAAAAGTCCAACAAATTTAACAAAATAAAGTAAGTATTAAATGAGAAAATAAAAAAAATTACAATCTAACAAAATAAAGTAAATACAAATATAATAAAAAACAAAATCTATCGATGCCTGCGACGCGAATGTGTTCTGCAAGGCGATGGTTGTCGGTCTCGAGAAGGATTTCTTCGTATCACTGGTTCTGACTCCTCGCTGTCATCATCGTCGTCGTCGTCGTCATCGTCATCGTCGTCGTCGTCGTCCTGAGCAGGTACATTAGGTTGATGAGGAGCTGATGACAATGAAACACCTCCATAGAATAAGGACCCTGGATGTGTATGACCGACTATCCCACCGGCCTGCGAAAACTGGGAAAACTCATAAAACCCAGACATTGCTGAGTGTGAAAACTATACAGGAGGTGTCTGTGCTGCGGCCATGGGTGATGAGGCTGAACCCGCCAAATATCCAGTATATGAACCCCAAGTCGGATCTGTAAACATAGACCCATAATAGCCTCCAGGAGGGGTCATCTGTGATGGTGGCGGCGGCGGGGTCATAAAACCAGGTGAAGGCGGCAGTGGCATCTGGTAATGGAAAGGAGATGGCGACATCATATATGGTTGTGATAGTTGCTGTGAAGGTCCTGCTGGTGCAGGTGGTGGCATCTGGTAATAGAAAGGCGATGGCGACATTATATATGGTTGCGGTAGCTGCTGTGAAGGTCCTGTTGGTGCAGCTGAGGATGAACCGGAAGCACCTGCTCTCCGTCCACGAGTCGGGGGACGATGGTGCTGTGTCGGATCACGTCTCTGTCGACGTCGCGGAAAGGTCTGCCCTCGTGCATCCTCGGGAAGTAGAAACAGTTTCCCGTTACTGTTGAACCACTCATAATAACCGTCAGCATACATCAATAGGTCATAAAAAATGGGCTCTCTACGAGGAAGGCGCCGATGTCGATCCTCCCATAACACGACCCACTCATGATGCCTCACCAGCCAATTTGTATCTGTCTTGCCGCGTCTATCTAAGCTATGCAACTCGTCCATATTACGAGGTGCTTCCGAAATTGGTTGAAAACAACCAAACTGTCGGAGCACGCGATCAGTAGAGTGCCACTCGACGGTCGCATAACAGATCAGAGGGACCATCGCCATCCAAACATCTGATGGGCCCCCACAACTCAGGTGGGATCACCGCCCTCACATCATCAGTACAATATGGCACCCATTCAAACTAAAACAAATATTATATAATTTTTTTATCAAAATACTAATCTAATTATATAACTATAATCTAAAATCGATTTTTAAACATTAAAATTCATACTTGTGTGCCAACTTGCTGATCGATGAGCACCCTAATTTTTTCTAAATCATCAGGTAGCACCTGATGATTTTTCCTATCAGTAGACCACCTATTCAAGGAAAAACATTATTATACGCTGTATAAAATTATTAATATACAAAATCAGTTTTATAATTACCTCAGAAGTAGTGGAAATACGAATGGGTTCTTCACAACGGGACATAAAAAGGGCAATCGATACCATGCCCAAGACTGCAGCAGCAGGAGACATCCGCCGATAGCATTACGCCTGTAGTCAGTGCCTCCACACATCTCTTTGTACAGTAAAGCCAAAACTGTCGAGCCCCAACTGAATGATCCGGCGAGACGAAAGTCGCTAAGATGTCACAACCACATGCAGTGAACTAGGTTGCGCGATTTGTCCGGCATCAACAACCCTCCTATCAACTGCAATATGCATGCCCGTGCATACATCTTAACCTCATTTTTAGATGTGTCTGCGCTCAACTCCCGAAAATTGGCATCTAACTAATTTAACGGTATCCTACCTCCGATAAAACTTTCCGGGATACGTCCTAGATTTTCCCGGCACAAAGTAGTCCAAGAACCGGAAGCTATCCCTGATATCACAACTCCATCCACCAGGAGCCCCAGGTGCATAGAAACATCCTCAAGCGTGATCGTGCACTCTTCGCACGGAAGATGAAATGTGTGAGTCTCCGGCCTCCACCGCTCTACTAAGGCAGAAATAAGGTCTGGTTCTATCTTACAGTGACTGTGATATATACCTATGTAACCAAATACATCCTCTACTAAATACGACAAGACACGGCTAGGTATTACTAACTTAAGATTCCTAATAAAATGATCTAATATACGGTCATTCTCCTAAAAATAAATAATTACAAAAATTAATTCTTAATCTAATAATCATGCATTAAATAAATCAACAAATTATTACTAATAATTTAAATTAAATTAAGATGTTAAAATGGTACCGTATCAGCAAAGTATCGAGATATATGATTTCCATCCAAGCGAAGTAAACCGCCTTCCATTATATATCTACAAAAAATTTATATTAGTAAAATATTAATGTAAAATACTTAAATAAATTAAATATATAATATTAAAAATATTATAAAATATACCTTAAACGAGAGAGTATTTGAGAGAATTTGATGTGATTAAAGTGATTGAAAATGATGTATTTATAGGAAATGGTGGGGGTGTGAACGGCCGGGTAATTAAAGCTATAGCGCGCGCTCCCTACACTGCGCTATACCCCACGTGTCAGATAAATAGGTATAGCGCGGAGCAGGGGGCGCGCTATAGCCACGTGTAACCCAGTCAACGTATAGCGCGGTACAGGGGGCGCGCTTTACTGCTACGGGTGTTAGATCAAGAAATATAATCTGACCAATGTTAGATCGGTAAATATACCGATCACCGATGATATTTCGAGAAAAACGTCCATATTATCATTTTAAAAAAAAAGCTTCAGCAACAATATGCTAAATAATTATGATATATGTATATATACTTACATAAGATAAAAGAAGAAAAATAGATTGTTAATGAATTAAATAATGAGAAGATAGTACAGCAGGCTCCAGCTTTTGCGGCACATATTCCTGCCTGTCATCCTTCCATCATCAACTTAATCGTCAAGATTGCTATCCAACTCAGACACACATCCAAATCGCTGCAGTGTTCATGCAGCACAAAGAAAAAAAAAAATCATATCCTCTCAATTGTCCACGATCCATCTTTAATCGCCCACACTTGGCCACGACCTCGCTTTTTTATATTCTTTTGTTTCACACTGTTACATCAAAGGAACTGAGAGAAACTCCATTTGTTTCTTTGTTTTACAAAGACGACATAATGTTTTATGCCCCGCAAAGTTTTTTCCTTTGGGGATCAGTTCTTTTTTAAAACTATCAAGTGGGGATGTCCGTTTTCCTTCAAGGAAAGCTGAAAAATAAACCATGTAATTGTTATGATGGTTCAATGCAGACTTGATTATTGTTGTGGTCAAATTAAGCTTCCCTTCTTGCATTATTGACAAACATTGAGCTGGTTTTTGTACTTTGCAGCTCCCATATAAAGCAGAAAAGCAGGATCGAATAATATATCATTTCATAGAATTTAATCATTACGCCTCCTTTAATCCCCCCCTTCCCTCCCATTTTTAGTCTCTCATTCTTACATAAGCCAAAAGGAAAAGATTTCTTACAATTTGGTTACCAGAAAGATAACTGGTCCCCACCCTTGTCTTCCATTAATCCCTTACTCCCACAAAAAACTGCACCTAGAAAAAGACATAATCAAAATTTACCTTCTCCCTCCCTCCAATTCCATCAACTTTGCACTGCACATGCAAAACTTTTCGTGTTTGTATTAACAGCAGACAAGGGTTTCAGGTATCAGTTCAGGCGGCAAATAGGGGCAAGTATTTCATTGAGAGATCACAGGGCTGCATCGAGGCCGAGAGGAACCAACTAACACCATTTGTTGGAGTAACTAACTTCGATGCCAAGGGAGGCTTAGCAAAGAGCATTGTGGACCCCGGTTTATCTAGGCTGCCTTCTCTAGAGTTGCTTACGCTGGTTACCAACGAAGATGAGTTAGAATAATGAGTTCCTCCTGTCTTGATGGATTCATCCACCATTGGCTGACTACAGCTCACCGAATTGACACCAACGAGATCATGCAGGGCCGATGAGAAAGTGGGATTTCGATAGTTTTCATTATTCACAGATTTGTGTACGATTGACTTGACACCATCAACAATTGATTGCGGTTGCAGCTTTGGTGATTGATTCGGAGCCATTTTCCAGTCCAAAGCATTCCCGTGGCCGACTAGGGGTTGAAGGGTCTCACCGATGGATATCCTGTGTGTATTGTAATCACCAGCCTCATTGTTGGAATCAGTCTCTTTGTTTCGCCTAGCTAACTCCACAGCGAGCAGACTACTGCTGGCCATGATCCTCTCAACGTGGTATCTAGTGATGTCGAAGTTCGTCACGGTATTTGCACCGCGAAACTTGATTGCGGCAATGTCATAAGCTTCGGCTGCTTCCTCTTGGGTGCCTGAAATGAAGATTGAACAAAACCATTAATAACTAATTTAGACAGAGAAAATCCTTTGCCCATCTTTATCAGCTCACCAGAAAAGCAGCCTTACAAAGTTCATTGAGATTGAAATCAGAAAAGGACAAGCTCTAAAAGCAATTATCATCAGCCTTATAAAACCATCACGGTTGTCTAGTAACATAAGATTACTGACGTCATAAAAATGAGCATCTTCAAGCTCTTTCTAAGAGATACAAAAAAAAAAAATAGTTAACAGCATACTATAAACTACTGACAACTTACTAAATGTTCCCAAATAAAGGTCCTTGTTACCAGCAACCCTGCCAATGCGAGCCTGCCATCTTCCATGTTGATGATGCCTACACACAAAAATGAAATGTAATCAGTTCGTTAAATCACACAAAAAATAGAATAAAAAGACGAGGTCCAAAATATCATTGAAGGAAATAAAACCTAGTAACTCCTCTGAACATTGAGGCCCCTCTCGAGAACCCACTACTTTTCCTGCAAACAAATGTAATGTTATTCACTTATCACAGACGGAAATTGAATTTAGATGAAAATCAGAAACCAACCTCCGTAAATGGGCAACAAATTCCTGGCGGTTCATGTTCTTCATTTCTTCCAGTTCTTCACGGTAATTTTCAAGCTGCAAAGAGAAAAAAGAGAGTCAAAACTTGTCATGTCCGGTAGACAAGATTATAAAATATAAGCTGGACGATTTCATTTACCGGAAAATTTATATGCGTGGAAGATCCCCAGTACTTAAGAGCAGCAAGATCATAAGCTCTAGCAGCCTTCTCTTCCATGTCATAACCCCCTGCAATTCAGGAGCAGCAAGATTAATAACGATTACTAATGTGATGTTTCAAATAATAATTTTTTTATGACAATGCTTACCAAGATAAACTGAAAACGCATGAGTTGATTAAAAAAGTAGCCACGAGAAGCACGAACATGACCAGGAGGAATTAATAACACAAGTCAGGTCATTAAAAGAGATGAACCAAAAACTGCAGTCAAAGAACAAATACATCCAAGTGGATTGAGTAAATCTGTTTGGTTTTTGGTTAAAACAAACCTTGCCTCCCTTTCCTGGTTTGCCTTTCTTTCTTGCAACTATTGTCCCACAGATGAGCTTCATATCTACCCGTCCATCTATGTCTGATGTTTGAAATTTTACAATGGTGAATGGTAGAGCAGAATAGCATAATAACTATGCAGTATCAACGGAAAAGTATGAACTGACCTTGTGACACCTCGATACTGGGATGTTCTTTGTCCAAAAGTGTCAATGGACTTCCTATGAACAGTTTGCTTCTGACTCACCATTCCAGGCCCTCTTTTCTTAGTTTCCATGGCCACACATTCAGTGGCAGTTGGTGAGATCTGCCTTGGAGCTATAACGCAACTGGATTGGGAACCAGGACTCATTGACAAACTGAGGGACTGCAAGTCTCCACAACCCATTGGACCGACAGCACCGGAAGCTACACCATTATCGACGATGCTACTAGTCATCTGTTGTTCCGTTGAACTACGGGAAGAAAAGTGCCTAGCTACCCAGTTTATAAAATAAGGCATTGTTTCTTCTCCCATTTGAGGAATCTGGGAATCACAGTCTGGAAGTTGGGTATCCTTGGTTTCCTCCTCCAATGGCGACTGATACATGGCATGGCAGGCAAGTCCTGAAAAGTACGGGTGAGTTTGAACAGAAAGCTCTTGTTCTTGCTCTCTAAAGGGTTCTTGGAGAAGGTCCAGGGAGGAATCTGGGAATCACAGTCTGGAAGTTGGGTATCCTTGGTTTCCTCCTCCAATGGCGACTGATACATGGCATGGCAGGCAAGTCCTGAAAAGTACGGGTGAGTTTGAACAGAAAGCCCTTGTTCTTGCTCTCTAAAGGGTTCTTGGAGAAGGTCCAGGGAATGCTGCCGGTTGGGTTCCTGGTTCGCATCTTGGTGGTAGTACATGCTGTCAAAGCTGAGAGGCATTGTTTCCCGTTGGTTGCTTCCATATTGATGAGGGTCCATAGTTGCACCACCCAGAAAGTCCTCCAGTTTTGGAGACGAGGTAGGCACAATCCCTTTAAGCAAAACAAGCATTGAAAAATATAAGTGTCAGGACAATGTAGAATATCAATAAACTTGGGGAAATTTTGCTTATGAGAACCTTCTGACTGTGATCTATTGCAGAGAGCTTCCATGATGCATAAAGACCCGTCTGACTTAAGTGGCATAACAGACAAAGCGGCGTGAAAGCCTCCACTATCACCAACTCCATAGCAGATTCCAGAGCCATTGAGGTGAGAAGACAAGTAGAAGCTCGTAGGAACAGCATTAGATACAGAAGAAACAGCGGCGTCGGCAGCAGAAGCTTGACTGTGATGAGGGTACTGATGAGAACGGTGTCGGGGATCGGTAGCCACCTCCATGTTCATGTGGGGCGAAAGTGAGAAACCCAGCCAGTTATTATTGCTGCCATTGTTATTGTCGTTCAGAGACTTCATCTTCTTCTCTCTCCCCCTCTTGCTTTTCTGACTTAGAAGTTTCCAGCAGAGTCCTAGCTGCAAGGCAACTCAATCATTGAAAGGAAAATAATCTAATCATACCGAAAATCACTTGCCTCCCTCCCAACATTTTGAATGGCCTGGGACTCTTTAATCCATGCACTTTCACAATCTGTCAAGAGAAACAGAGCTGGTCTCTTTGAAAATGAACTCGTTGTACGCAATGCTGCGTATATATATAGTCTCTTTGCCGTCTATTTTATTACTTTTTCCTTCAATAGTACCACTTGAATCCTTCAAAAATGGCAAAACTCACGTAATAATGCGTTGAAAATAAAAAAATTCACTAAATATTATTCTCGAAAAATTAATTTTTGAAATAGTACGATTGCTACAATTATCTTTCAGGTGGTCCAAACGACCTATTCATGTCGCCATAGAAATCGTGCGACCTTATAAGTCGCCATGCAGGGAGTGCGAACTCCTCTTGCTGGTTTGTTAACACACGTTAATATATTATATTATTGTGGTGGGGTTAGAATTAGGTAATGTGTGATGTAGTGGGCATGAGGTTTTGTATTTTTTTTAACATTATATTATTTTCAGTTTTGATTTTCAAGCATCAGTTTTCCTACACAAAGTGCTTTATCATCAACTAAAAACTTTCCATTTGTCCAACTATAATTCCATGTAATTTGAATAATTTAATAATAGTTTATTTACCTAAAAATAATAAAATTCCATGTAATATAAGGTGAAACATTGTTCACATATGCAATTATTTGGTCCCTCCCAAAGAATTATTTGAAATATTTACTATTCTTCAAGGTCTTGTATGTATATATATATTATTAAAATACAATATACAACAAATAATATAAGTAACTATTGATTTTATGAACCCTAAATTCTAAACCCTAAATCTTAAAATATTTTGTTGTTGATGAAAATCCTATACCTTAAACCATAAATCTTAAACCCTAAACCCTAACCATTCTCCCTCTAATCAATTTCTTCTTATAAAAAACAAATATGTAACCACCATCATGGTAGATATCACCATCCTCTACCCCTTTCATTGCCCTGAACATACCATGAATTTATAAAGGTTTTCAATAACAACCAAAATATTTAAGGGTTTAGGGTTCATAAAATCAATGGTTAAGGTTTAGAGTTTAAGATTATAGTTTAGAGTTTAGAGTTTAGGGTTTAGTATATTTATAGTTTAGGATTTTCATCAACAACCAAAATATGTAACCACCATCATGGTAGATATCACCATTCTCTACCCCTTTCATTGCCCTCAACATACCATGAATTATAAAGGTTTCAGCAATAACCAAAATATTTTAGGGTTTAAGGTTTAGGGTTATTACTAAAACCCTTTATAATTCATGGTATGGTGAGGGAAATGAAAGGGATAGAGGATGATGATATCTACTATGATGGTGGTTACATATTTTGGTTGTTGAAAATCCTAAACCCTAAATCTTAAACCCCTAAACTATAATCCTAAAACCTAAAACCTAACCATTGATTTTATAAACCCTAAACCCTAAAATATTTTGGTTATTATTGAAAACCTTTATAAATTCATGGTATATCGTGGGCGATGAAAGGGGTAGAGGATGGTGATATCTACCATGATGGTAGTTACATATTTTTTTTATAAGAAGAAATTGATCGGAGGGAGAATGGTTATGGTTTAAGGTTTAGGATTTTCATCAATAACTAAAATATTTTAGGGTTTAGGGTTCATAAAATCAATAGTTACTTATATTATTTGTTGTATATTTTATTTTAATAATATATTTCTATATATATACATACATACAAGGCGTTGAAGAAGCGTAAATATTTCAAATAATTCTTTGGGAGGGACCAAAGAATTGCATATGTGAACAATGTTTCTTCTTATATTACATGGAATTTTATTTTTTAGGTAAATAAACTATTATTAAATTATTTAAATTACATGGAATTGTAGTTGGACAAATGGAAAGTTTTTGGTTTATGATAAAGCACTTTGTGGAGGAAAACTGATGCTTGAAAATCTAAACTGAAAACAACATAATGTTAAAAAAATACAAAACCTCATGCCCACTACATCACACATTATCTAATTCTAACCCCACCAAAATAATAAAATAAATTAACGTGTGTTAGCAAAACAGAAAGAGAAGGAGCTTGCACTCCATGCATGGTGACCTACAAGGTCGCACGACTTCCATGGCGACCTGAATAGGTCGTTTGGACCACCTGGCGACCTACAAGATCACTGTAGCAATGGCCTCATTTCAACAATTAATTATTCAAGAGCAATATCTGATGAATTTTTTATTTTCAAAGCATTATTACGTGAGTTTTGCCCTTCAAAAATCCCAGATATAAAACATACCACCCAAAACCCTTTTGCATAAAACAACAAAACCTCACTTTGGTTTCTCAAATGCACTCATATATAACTATCTCTTTCTACCCAGAAAAAATTAGAAAAAGAAAAACCTATAAATAATTACCAAGTTTTTTCTCTTTATTTAATTTTTAAGCAAAAACTAGCTAATTCAATTAGTGGGCACTAGGGATGGGCATTGGACCCGAAATCGACATGTTCCAACCTGATCGAGTCGGATATTTTTAAAAAAAATTAAGGACGGATTCAGGTTTAGGTTAAAAATATCCGACTTGACCCGAAAAAATATATAATTTTACCTTATATATTTAGTAATAATTACAATAAAACCATTATATATATTATCATTTTTAATTAAGTCACTGTTTTTATTGAATAAAAATATTTTTTTATTTCGAGTTGGGTCAAGTTTTTAGGTTATTTATTGGGTCGGGCTCGAGTCAGGTTAAAACTTATTTTGGTTAGGTAGAGTCTCGGGTGCAGGACTCCTTGTTCTTGGGTCGGGTCGGGTGGACCAAAAACTCGACCAATGCCATCCCTAGTGGCCACTAGGGAGAAGGGGTGATCAGATAAACAAAATCAGGAGGGCTTATATTTACAGTCACATATCCTTATATAGATTTGAAGGGTAACACACTGCCCATCCAGTCACTTCATATAGTACACTCTTCTGTGCCACTCTACAGACTGATGAAGATCCAATTTAAAATCCAATGTTTTTTGTTTGCCCCTCTCAACTTAAATGATGCTCCAATTTGGGGGCGTTTTTACCAAAATATCACTCTTACACTCAGTAATTATCTGTCAGACATCATTTCTTTAAATATTACCGATCTAACACATTTTCTCACACGGTGTCAATAAAACGCAGATCATTATCCGTGCCTTCGCGGGTTATGTCTGAGCTGGCGCCACTTAAGGGGAAGGCGTGAGGTTCTGACACGTACAAAAGGCACGAACAATTATGCACGTTGAATTATTGATATTTCATTATTACCCGAACCTGAAAACTCGGCTTTTAAACTCTCCCCCTCCCCTATAAATAACAACCCCTCTGAATGCAAATATCACCACACCAAAATTACTTGCTTAATCGTGTTAGCAACGTGAAAATCTGCGAGTTGACGACAACGTGAAATGTCCAAAATTACAGAGTCCCAAGTGAGTATGCGACAATGTAAAAATCTATGAGGTGACGCAACCATATACAATGAACTTGGTTGCGTGATTTGTCGGGCTTCATAATCCCTCCTATGAGTTGTAATTTGCAAGTTTGTGCATATATTTTAACCTATTCATCGGAGGTGTCGCGACTCAAATGTTTAAAAGTTGTATCCCGTTGAGTGTTGAATTTGTTGCTGACATGTAGTAGGTGGTTATATAATTAAAAGATTGTTATCGTAGCTGTTATGAGCGATTGATAGAGCTATAATTTAGTTTGTTGTGTTGTGTATCAATGAAAAACCACCCTATCATTGTTAGTTCTGTTATGGTGTTATATTGTTCTTGAAACCCTAGTTTCTAACATGGTATCAATCGCTAGTGATCCTGTTTGTGGTGTTTTTGCTTGCGTGGTTTTCTTCTTCTTGTGATCTTTTCTGTGGTGATGTTGCGTGTTTTCAATGTTCACTAAAAATATCAATGTGGTGTTGGATGAAATGAATTTCTTGTTGTGAAAACAACAAGTTTTACTCACGATTCGTAGTCATCGTCTTGAGCGTCTTCTTACCAGTGGTATGAAGTCTCTACATGAAATGGTAGTCTTGTTCCCAATAAGGCATATGATGATTTTGTACCTCGGGATAAAGCATTGGTGTCATGGTTGCTTTCTACTATTAGTCCACATTTTCTGTCTCGATTTGTTGGTGTTGAGACAGTAACTTTTATGTGGAGTACGGTGTTGTATTACTTTGTCACTCGGTACTCAACTTCAGTAATGAACTTGCATTGTAAACTTCAGTCTCTCAAGATAGGAGAAGACATTATGCGCATGTATATTGCCAAGGTTAAAGAAATCAATAATGTTATTACAATGAGCGGTGATATGTTACCTTTGGATAATGTATGTATTATGTTTATAGATGCAGAGACGCAGCTTGCTAGGTTTGTTGTTCAAGCAAAAACTATCGTAGCTACTGCTCATCTTACTCATGGATCTGGTTCATGTGATTTCTCTAAACGTTCATATTAAAACTATGATAAATATCGTCTGTCTGTTGCTTGTTTAGGTGGCATATCTGGTGGTTGAGCAGGTTTGAACGTGGTCGGACACGTATTCAGTGTAAATTGTTTGGTAAGCTTAGGCATATAGTCGACCGTTGTTGGCATCGCTATAATGAAGATTATCAGATTGCTAGTAATAGTCGGTCACGATATGCAGAAGACTCTGCTCAAGTCGACACGGCTGCCTATGATAAGTGCGGTTGTACGTGTTGTTTGAAGGGTTCTCAACTTCATGCTTCGATTGATACAAATTCTCCAATATCTGAGCAGAATCAATGAGATGTTAACTCCGGTGCTACGCATCACGTGACTCCGAATATTGATATTATAATTCATCGCACTGGTTATAGTGGTCCAAGTAAGCTGGTTGTTGGTGATGGTGTTTCATTAGATGTTGATCTGGTTATTGATACGAACCTGAATTCTACTTATAGAATGTTATTAATTTGTGATTTGCTTCATGTGCATAATATAACTCAGAATTTAGTCTATGTATCTAAGTTTGCTAGGGACAACAACATGATTTTTGAGTTTCATGCATTCACGGTGCTGTTACTCGAAGTGTGATTCTTCAA